AAGCCATCGGAGAGGGTGTAGAGCGATTACTTCCGTTAGAGAACAACTATCCGCACCCAACACACGACGACAAACACCGTAATTATTCGCCCGGTGTTCCCACCAGACACGAGCAATACTTCGAAGACATTGGTGATCAAATACAGAAAGGCGATTAACATCCTCAACGCGGAGGGTCCAGATCTCGCGACCGTTAAGGAAAACACTACGAACTGCGGCGATGTGCACCCTTTTCTTAAGAGACAGTCGGATGTCATGGCGGCTCCACAGGTGTCGCAGGTTGGCGAAAGCTGCTCTAGCTTTCACTATTCGTGATGTGATCTCCCCGATACCATCGCGAGTTGCGATCAAGCTCCTGAGGTACTTGAAGCTCTCAACTAATTCCAGCTGATCACCGCAGAGTAAGTGCAGACAGGCTCCTGCCAGTCTTGAACAAGCAAGGAATGCTGAAGTAAAAGCACTAGAAAACAAACTGAAAAACTTGCAGAATCCGCGCCTGTCCGGAAGAAGCTCGTTCTTACTGCAAGCAAGTTTAAAAGGTCTTATTTCAAATAATAAAAGAAAGATGATTTTGTAGAGCCTTTTCATCAGCTTTGTAGTTATGCAAGTGATAAGAAGATGTTGACAGAGAAGATGTTATCCATTGTACATGAGTTCAAAAGTGAGTATATCCCAATCTAACACTATGATACCCCGGGGAAACTGCTCGTCAACAGGATAATCTTTCCCATCATTTTATTTATTTACTTGTTTTAGAGGCGAACATTGAAAGAAAAACAGTTAAGCGAATCACCTTTTTGGTTGAAAGAAGCTTACTCGCCAACTCGTGATATTTTTGGCTGCAAGCGGAAGTTAGGGTGGTGGTATCTGAACGGTTTGTTTGTCGTCGTGCCACAGGCATCCTATTGAGACCTTATACAGTTCGTCACTCCTAACCCCAGGGCTTAGGTCTTTGGTTCTCACAACGAAACAGTAGACATTCGTAGCCACGGTATACACCACTTCTTTTTTCATTACAGCAAA